TGCAACAAAAATCAATATAAAAATATTACCCACACAGCTTCTACAGGTTACTTGTAACTTATAGAACTTGTTCTTGCATATGACAGTTTTCCCATATTTTATACATTGTACTGTTACTAAATCAGTGAGTAAATCCCTATTAATACTAAATTACAAAAATAATGTATAATTGAGTAAATTATTTTTTTTTTTAAAATTGTTTTATAAGTTTTTTTTGTTTTTGTTTTTATCCTACTAGGATTTGGATTATATGTTTACCCCAAGCAGATGGGTAGTTCGTATGAAGCAAGATGAAGTTGTGGAAGATTTTGTGACTTCTGTATCCAAAGGTAAGGAGGTAAAGAATATGATATAACAGGATATTCAACTTTTATTTAATTAAACTTAATTAAAATGTAATTCTACGTTGAATTGCATTGTAATTGAGTTTAATTAAACTCCAATTAAAACACAACCCTATATAGGAACGCGTTTTAATCGAGTTCATATCGCAACTACCGGTATATTAAAAGTTAATTCAACTATATTAAAAGTTAATCCAATGTGTGTCGTCACAATGATGATGCGACATGAAGGTATGTGTGTGTGTGCGTGTGCGTGCGTGTATATATGCATATCAATTTTTTTCATGAATATTGAACTTTGGTAGTTTATGTGGAGTTTATTTATTTGCAATAGCTCAAAATTACTACCACTCATTTTACTAGTGTGGGAGAGAGCAACTGTTATTTTAATGGGCAATTACAGTTCAATTTGTACAAAAACCGGAATGAAAACGTGGATAATGTGTTGTTTTGTTGATCCAAAGTGTACCATGACCCTGTATTCCAAATGGCGTTGACATAGTCAGTGAAAGGTCATCTGTTGTTATGCTAATTTGTGTGTTTAAGCTGTTCTATTCACTGTGGAATAAAAGAAGTTAATTTGAACTGTGTTGCCTGTGCATTTTTTGTGTGCATTCATATAATAATTATTTGTGTCATGCCATAATCATAATCTTATAATCAATGAAAGTAAACTCTTTTTTACTAGTTTTTCCGAATTGTCAATATACTGGTACGGTATAATATAATAGCAATAACCCCATGCCGAAGTTGGGTATACCACTCAATATTGCACAATTCACTCCATATGTGCACTTGCCTGCGGCCCGTGCATATATGTCGTGAATTGTGCAATATCTCGTGGTATATCGTCTTCGGTGGGGAGGGGGGGGGGGGTTACATGTATTACTGTGGAATACTTTATTTTCACTGGAATTAATTTTCGCTGAAAAGGCTTTTTGGGCGTTTTGCTTGGAATTTATTTTCACTGATTTTTCATGAGTTTAATGTGAAATATAGGAAAAAAAGTATATTCAATGGATTTTATTTTCACGGAATCATCCCTTCAGCGAAAATAGCGAAAATAAATTCCAAGCAAAAATAAAGTATTCTACAGTACTTAAATATTTAGCTTATCACTGTCAAACTTATATATATGGGTAATTTTTAAGTTTAGTTGTTTATGTGTTGCTGTACATAGTGCACTCTCTATATTACACCCTTAAATTGTTTCTTTAAAGAGTCATTATGACTACTGTAACTTCCAAATTTTTTTTTCTAGATTCTAATTAGCTGATTACTATCAAACTTATAAATATTGTTAATCTGTATACATAGTCAAACTTCCTACTCGATACTGGGATCTTCCGTACCCTTAGTAGTCATCTTCCCATCTTATGCTGTGATCTGCCCTACTTATATAATAATATCCCCACCCTGTGCTCACTTTTACATATACAGGGCAAGCCATGTGTAGTTTAACTATGTTAATTACTTTGGATTTTCACACCCACTTATACAATATCAAGAATTATGTTAATATAATTATTGATTCTGTTTCCAGCAAGAGAGGAACTACTATTATCACCGACCGTAGAGAAAGAATTGGACATCGTCTATTTCACAGAAGGAGATACTAAATGTTGTGTAGATATTTACAAACCAAATAAAGCTGCAACAGGTGGGTTTAGTAATACTAGATTTGAATTAAAACATAACCATTCATTCATATACTGAAATTCACCCCCTTCAAAAGTCAACAACGTATTATTTGGCAGATTTTTGTAATTTATTGGCTTCGAAAATTCTGACTAATTAGAGAATTGTGCTTTTTTAATTCTCCAAAATGTAATCTCTCAGATTTTTCATCTTGAATAGAAATTTTGCTTTTCTGACAACAAATGGTGTATGTCCTCTATACATTTTTGTGTTTTTTTATTCACTGTTTTATACTTTGAAAGTTTGACAAGCATAGATTGTGAACTAATTTTGTATTCTAAAACCTGACCATCTTTCAAAACTAATTATGTTAAAAACCAGTTTAGTTATTATGGTAGTGGTAGTTTTAAAAAAACACAGTTTAAAAAAAAGCAGGTTTGGACACATTTTCATTAGCCTTAGCGAATACATAGAACATCACAAGATTTGCTTGTGCTTATATATTTGTGGCAGAGAAGTGGTAATTTTGTTTTCTAAATTCTGCCACATACACATATATGACATCGTGAGTTTTGAACATTGTCATAAAATCCTGGCTTCTTTGCACCAACTAAATCTTATCATATGAAAGTTAGCTGTTGTAAAATTGTTCCAATTTTGTCTGCATAGTAGGGGTTGATTTCACCACGTAAATGCTTGTTGATAGTTCATCAGAATGTCGGGAACCAGGAACACCAACAGATGAATTGTGTGAGCTAGAAATCACCCCCTCCCATTCTCTCATGGAAACCAACTGTTGGCGCTATAACTTGAAACTCATCTTTTGGTCCTTCGCTTTTATAACATTTACTCAGACACAAATATTCACATTATAAATCTCAAATACAGGCCTTGTCTGTGTATTTTTGGAATGTTCAGTGGAAAGGATACTATGATGGACGAGAATGGTTTTGCAGTACCAGATTTGCATATAGTTGCCACATGAACACAGTGCATGCACTTGATTAGTACACTTGATTGATTTATGTGGGTCAAATGATATATTGTGTCAGTTGAAATAGTGGAGAATAATATATTGGAATTCAAATTGAGTTAATCATTGTTATGCTCTGATTCAGTGCTGTTGGATAAATCTGCATATCTCAGTGGATATCAGCACATTTTATCTGGTTCAAAACAAAGACATGATTACATGTACCAGTTGAGGGCATCCATTGCCTGACATACATCCTTTAATCCTCTGTGATATGTAGTGTTGGTAACACTCATAAATAATATCACCATTACATATTAATTGGTACATTTCATCAAAGTTTTCTTTATTATTTTCAGTTACTAAAATAGCTAATATATAATTTGAGATTTTTGAATGAATGACTATTTCTGTGACAGTACATGTATCAATAACAGAATATTAGAATTATGTCAAGTAAAACTTTATTCTGATATCGTTAGTGTACAAGCACAGGGTGTTTTCTAATATGACTATTGTTTTTACAGATGCACCAGTTGTCCTATTCATCCATGGTGGCTACTGGCAGGAATGTAGGTAGGCTTCTTCATGATACTCAACCTTTTCACCACCATATTTTCTTGCCCAAATTTTTCTGTACTTTTTTAGCTCCGCTGTCGACTTTGTTGAGCGGAGCTTATCATATGAGTGATTGCTTGTCGTCATCGTCCGTGTCAATGTTTTACTTTTTCGACTTCTTCTTGAAAACTACAAGCCTGAATGCTTTGATACTTGGTGTATATGTACCTTGGGTAGACCTCTCTCAGATTTGTTCATTTCGTGATGATATCTTCAATTCTCTAATATTAGTGAATATTTTTGTAATTTGTGGTAAAAAGTGATATTTTCGACTTTTCAAAAAAACACAATTCCGATTGCTTTGATATTACATCTATTGGTACATGTACTAGATGTGCACTCTCTCAGATTTGTTCATTTTGTAATGATATCTTTAATTTTCTAATTTTGGTGAATATTTTTGTAATTTTTGGTGAAATTTCGACTTCTGATTGCTTTGATATGACATATATAGGTACTACATGTGGTGGTGGTGACAATTTTCAAATCACTCAGTAAACTACTTTTTGTATGGTGAAAAAAATAAAAGCTTAGTCATATACCACATATATCCATGATGGATGAAGAAATAACATTTTTGCCTTGCCTGTAATTATAATAAATTTTATAAAAAGTGACAGAAATTTTGTAGTAACAATTGGTGTTTGAGAGCAATGTCTCTGACATGCCTTGTACATTATATCACACTGATTACCATGCACTTGTTTCAAGTTCTGATTCAAAATGGCTGACTCATTTCAGTGTTGACTATTAAACAACGAGGACTCATGTCACAACATATAATTTTTATTTTCTCATATTACAGTAAAATACATGGAGCTTTTCCTGCACGATCCTTGATTAAAAATGGTATCATTACAGTTGCTGTAGGCTATACTATAGCTCCAGAAGGTAAAAAGGTCAAGAAATATTAAAATCATTTCTTAAAACCAAAACAAAACATAAATGACTTTATATATAATTACATATATTCACAGTTGCAAGTTATTCTGTTGATTTACATTATTAGATTTTTTGGACATCCCTTTTTTTACACCATCAATGTTTTGTACACAGAATATGAAAACTTTTCCTGTGATATGGAAACAAATAAGTTGTTTCTCAGTTGTGTGGCAGACCTAGTTTAAATATTACATATGGAGACTTAACTGTATAAATATTATTTAATATTGTTTAATAAACTTTTTTATCAGGATCTGTATCACAGATGGTTGAAGAAGTAAAACATTCTGTTATGTTTATAGCAAATAAATTCCCAGACACTAGGTAATTCATTAGCTAGCTTCCTCTGTATTGCTTGCCTGCTTTTGTGTGTATCCAATATTTGTACATAGTGTAATTGATCTATGAGTGATGATATACATATATTTACAGTAAATGTTATTGTTGTAAATATTGTGCAGATGCTATTCTTGTATGTAATAATATTGAAAACAGAACTATCATTGGAACTTCACCTTGAATTTTATGGGTTTTGGCTCAGGCATGCTTGGACTGATTAATTAAGATATAGATGTACAGTAATATACCGTAGTATACAAGTGACAATTTGTTTTCCATTTTATTCACTTTTGAACGACTTGTAACTTTTTTCACTCAAAATAATTGAATCACAAACTGTCAATATTCCAGAGACTGTTTCTCAGGCATGACAGGCTGATTTTATTTGAACCTGGTAATGACATATTACACATAACTGACACGCACAATTTTTTGTTTTGTTATTTAATGCATATGCATGTCATATATGTTTCTTTTCTGTTGACCTTTGCCTGATCCACTGGTGGCTAATGTTGTCCATCAAACCAACATATCATCGACCCTATTTCAGGCATACCTAAGCTGATTGGATCCAGACTCTCAGGGGCGGGGCTACGTCACAGAACGTTCTATGTTGCCAAGAAGCGAACCACTGTACCACATATTTCTATGGGCTCTTGCGAGCTGCTGTGGAACACCGGTCAAAGAGCCGGTGAAAATGGCTAAAGTCGAGAAAACAGCACAAACTCAACATTTGGAGTAATCCTGAACAACCAAATCTATATATGTTAATCACACATACAGTTGTATAGGGGGTAATCTTGTTACACTGTTCCAAAGTACAGCTTTCTTTTTGGCCTTTGGTTTCACCATGATTGATGCCATACCTAGATGTCTGCCCCCAAGAATTGCATCATTTAAATTACAATTTGATTTGAAATGGCCAACAAGCAGGCATTTTTTTTTTATTAATTTTTCACAAAATTACGAAGGCTATATATTTTTACATTCTCAACTTTACATTCTCATCCAAAATACTCAAATCACAAAAAATTCAATATTTTATTAATCATTTCTCAAGGCTTACCTGGATTATTTCATTCAAACATGGTATTATGTTCACACACACTCTTCATAAGTTGCTGATGTACATATGTTGACTTCCAAGTGCCTTTACCCATTTTCCAGACACTCTTCAAATCTCAATTTAGCCAATACAAAAGGTGACACTGATAATGACTTGTTTCCAGACAATTTGAACTGCAATTAAGCAGGAAATATGTGGTTGGTAAGATGTAGTTTGAAACCTACTTCATGTTTTCTACCTTGTAAATATTTTCATTCAGTCTCAGCCCAAGTTGGCTGTGTTTCATTACTTTGTCAGTAGATTGGGTAAAGTAGCAATAAATTAAATATGTTTTTTCGTGTTTGTTATAGGGGTATTTATGTATGTGGTCACTCTGCTGGTGGTCAACTGGCTGCAATGCTGCTCACTGTAGATTGGACTCAATATGATCTTCTTCAAAATATCATTAAAGGTTAGTGATTGGAAATCGTGTTATATTTATAATAATTATATATTAAATTTATAATGAATTTATATTTAGTTTCATCACTGAAGATGGACATGAATTTGTACCAGGGCATTCATGACTGATAATGAATACTCATTCTATGTGTATTTGGCTTAAATTTGCCTATTTCCATTCACTGTGAAAATATCTTTGGGACAAAATCAAAATCATCTTTTGTGACGAATAATGCTCAGATGATCAAACGTGCAAAAGTGAATTGAATAGTCTATATTTTAGCAGTAAAAACACATATTTAATTATGACCATTATACAGGTTTGCTTTTAGTTAGTGGTGTTTTTGATCTGCAGCCAATAGTGAAGACTTATGTTAATGAACCACTGAATTTGGATGAGTAAGTTCTGCATTTATAAATTTTAAGAATAAAAAATGTCATCTAGATATGTTTTCATCCAGGTTAATTTGCATAAATACAGTAGATCTATTGTACTTTTCATTATTTGCTCATAAATAATTCAATGAATATTGTGTGACATTGTTGAGAGCCTCTATCGGAATCTGCAAGAGCTGTGCTTAGACACTCTACCTGTTGTGTTTGATGTTGTGGGGGTGGATCCCCATTCTTGGCCAACTTTTGTCATAGTTATCACCTTCTGACAATTAATGCACTTAACTAATAAAGCCTAATAACTGTTTACAGGTTATATATCTTTATTTAGCTAATAATAATAATGCCAGATTATGTAACCCATTATTCTGAGAATTCATTTATTACTTCAACATGTATCATACATATGCAAATTAGTCAATTCTACAATTTCAGGAATATACATTAACATATGAAGATTTACTAATTTGCGTACAAATATAGATTCATATATATAACATACACAAGTGGTTTTGTGCAAATTGCATCTATTTTACTATGTTAGCTCTTTCTAAGGTCTATGGTTTATCACACTAAGAATAAATATATTTTACAATTAGAATATGGCATTATTTTAAGTTGAAATTGTAAATTCGGTTGATATTTGATATTCTGCTGCTTTGTACAGCTCATCTCATCTCAAACATTTTTGTCACTTTTTGCAAAATAAAAGTGCATTTCATATTTTGCACAATAAAAGTGCATTTCATATTTTGCAAAATAAAAGTTCATTTCAAATTTTGCAAAACTTGTGGGAAGATCTGTAGCATTTAGTGGGTTAAATGAATGTAGGTCTAGTTTGTTTTTGTGACTAGCACATTTTCTTCACATAGAGCAAGAAGAAATTTTCAATCATCAACTGACTTTCACATGAAATACTGAATGTGAATAATAGTGTTCAACATGTGTCAATCGTTATGTATAGTGTGCGAGTCTAATGTATGTATTCTATTCACTACAGAGCAGAGGCCATACGGTTGAGTCCATTGTGTCATATAAAGGAAGCTTGTCTGCACTCAAAACACTGCAAAGTTATTGTTAGTGTTGGTGAACATGACTCTCCGTCGTTCAGAACTCAGTCAAGAGAGTATGCAAAGGTTGGTGTTTGTAGATAACTTTTTAATGCATCCATGCTCCCATTCATAGGAGGTATTTTTGAAGCTTTGTCTATATTTGCTGGTAATTTGATCAAGTAATCACTTTGTGAATCTGAGGCAACTCCAATAAATCTGATCCTTTTCAAGTTATGCTATGCATAAGGATGGTGGTTCAGAATTTCAAATAAAACCGTTATCAACTATACCAGGTTCATTATAGTTCTAAAGCAGAATTGCTTATTGCAGACCAGTTAATGTTGATCAACACAGTTTTATTTATATTTTGTCAATAGCTAATTGACATATGCTGACAAATAAATATTAACTAAACTATTCAATAACAACATTTTTGAGATTAACTAATTATAGTTTCATTATGAACATGACAGTGAAAAAAGTAAAATTATAGAACCAATAATTAATAAGTAATTTAGTAACCAATTTACTTACAAAATATATTTTAGAGTTTGAAACAGGGACTTATAATTCTGTTTCTGTCCGTCCATCCCGAGTCGTGTCTCAGAACCCTGTGGACCAAATCTGTTCATTCCTTCGCATGTGTCTAGTAATTTATCGGGGACATGTGCACATGCAGTGGTTTCAATCCAAGATGACCGACTGGCAGCCATTAGGTTTTTTGAAAATGTGGTATCTTATGCATGCTTTGTCTGTTTTTGTTCAGATTTGGTACATACATTATACATGTCAAGATGCATGTCTATAACAATTCGTTTCGTGATCAGATCAAAGATGGCCGACTAACAGTCATTTTGGTTTTTGAAAATGTGGTATCTTATGCATGCTTTCAGTTTTTGTTCAACTTTGGTACATTGTACAATTTAGATTACATGTCTATGACAATTTGTTTACAGTCAGATCAAAGATGCCTGCAATCATGCTTTTTGACCATACCACTATATCTCATGTATTACTGTACATGAGCCTGGACATATGAAATTCAGTTTGGATACAAAAAATGCATGAATAGCATATCCTGTTTAATTTATTCACTCTAAATTATTAACTACGGTATGCGTTTAGTGCATATTACTTTATTTTTGGCATGATTAACATTTCCGCTAATCCCAACAGGGATTATATCCACCAACAATGACTTGTTCTATGCTAAAACATTGGCAATACTGTATGATGAACAATATATATAGTATTGAATTCTCTTTTCTCTTGTAGCAAACACAGTATATTAACTTGTTGTTTACTTTTAGCTTTTGAAAGATGTAGGTTTTGATATCAAATTTAAAGAAGTTGAAGACAAGGACCACTATAATGTAGTTCATGATTTGGTGTATGATAACTATTCATTGACACAGGTAAGAATACGCATTTCGTCATGACGTTCTAAGTTGTCATGGTTACCACTTTAGTGATGCTGTATGGGGTTGTAAATAAACTGTGAAGCAATAAAAGGCTTTTATCAAAAATCAAATTATATTTGAAATGTTGGTATATACTATACTTGCACATGATTAATTTCATAGGAAATGGTAGTGGGTAATTATAGTCCTTGGCAATATAACCATTTTGTCTGTGATACACCCAATCAACATAAAAGAAGAGTACATTGCTCAAAACCTCTGGTTATTTTGAATAATTACAATTATTATTAACTACAATTCTGTACTACCATTTCTATATATTATATAGGTCGTAGCAGCTTTGTCAATGTTTTTAATTCTCATCACATGATTCAATAATTTTATGAAACATTGGGAGTCTGGCCTGCATATCTAATGAGAAAATACCATTAACATTCTAGCTTTGAATTTTCTAGTTCACTCTCACGATATTTTGATTTTCTTTATTTTAGGATTTTCTCAAGTTGGTGAACTCCAGATAATTAATGAATACATGTTTAATCGGACCATATATAGTATAAATTTATCACCATTACGGGACTGCAGCCCATCACGTTAAAAACAATAATAACAAACTAATCATGAGACAAAAGTTAAACGGGAGTGTCATCACCTGCGCACCAAGCGCTGATAACAACACACGCCAAAACCGCAAAGGCTCATGGGTAGATGCTTGTTTGTAATCAATGACACGCTATGGCCATCTGACGCATGCGCTGGTGACGACTCCCCCGCTTCAACCTCGTATTTTGGTTAAAAATACAAGTTACAAAAGTCGTAGAACTGTGTCTTGTGCTAAATAATCAAAATCACACCAGTTTAACATTTTAAGAGATGCACCACTCAATGGTGAATGTGTAATATATTTAACCTGCTATAATGTTGAGATTGAGATTGTAGTTACAATTTTAAATTAACTAATTAAAGTATACAAAATGTTTAGAACAGCATTGTGTTACTCTTTCAATACACACAATTGATGTCCATGGTAGATATCAAATAACCCCCAAAATGCGAGATTGGTGGAATGTAATATTTACCAAAAAGGGTCTGACGATATTACACTGATTTGTTTTCTGGCACACATGCAATATAAATATGTAACTATAATACAGCGATTATCGAAATGCACATATCGTCGGACAGCTTTTTTGTTTTGGGGACTGTTTTGGCCTCGCTGTCAAACATACTTATTTCGATTACTGACTGTTTGTCTGTCGTTGGTGTCAACGCTTTCAACTTCTTCTTAAAAAGTATTGGCCATAACATTTTCAAGGAATAAACATTGGGTGGGTCTTCTCAGATAGCATATTAAGAGGTATAATTAGAGGTATGTGTAGCCTCCGCAGCTGTCTTATTAACCTACTCTGTCAAATCTGATATATCAACAATGATCTTCAAAAACATCTCATCATTTTGTATATAACGTACGTCTCCTAGTTGCAACATAAGATTAGTGAAACTTGGACATCCTGTAGCAATATTCATCTCTGAGACTGGCCTTTGAAAAGTGGCGGATGTCAGGTTAGGTTGGAATGTGTCCGCAATATGATCGTCTTCATTCTGATTTAATAGCATAAATGTTACCTGTAACGAAATAGATTATGCATCTGAAGTAAAACTCTATATTAACTATACATAAGTTATTTCAATCTCAAAAAGATTAACAAGAATATTGATCTGCTGTTAATGTTCATGTTTATTTTTAAACCATTAGCGATTGGAGTAAAGATGTGCATTTTTGTCGTCATTACAAACACAAACTTGTAAAACTCTGTCTAACAATCGTCCAATGTTTACCTTGTCCGTACGATCGTATAAAGTATATGAAGGTAGTCTGTAGTTGTTGTCATTGACTCCATCGTAAATTGTTTTTCTTATGGTCACAATAACTCAAACACTTTTTATCCAATTCCTTTAATCTCGATTTTAAGATGTTCTATGTATAGTGTTAAAAATGTTTGACGCACTTAATTTCAACTGCGTCATGTTCTGCTCGGTGAGTCTCGCATGGTTAAATGCTAGATCCATGCAGTTTGATTTTGTTTCCATCGCTAAAAACCGCGGGAAAGTATTGCTGATATAACAGCAATAATCCCCGTCAAAGTTGGGTGTGCCACCCAATATGTCACAATTCATCTCGTATATACACTTGCCTGCAGCTCGTTTATCTATGTCGTGAGCTGTGCAATACCCGGTGGTACACTCGGGGTTATTGCTTAATATTTACCTTGTGTTTGAATGGCCATTCAAGATTGGCGTCACATGTCCCCTTCATCAGTGTAAAGTATAGGGACATTGTTGCATTTTGTCTATTATTCTCATCATTCAACTCTAGCAGCACACACATCTTGTAACCATTGTGACTGGTATGAAACTGCGGCGACCGTAAGATAGATCTTGCATTGTAGCATTTGCTAGCCACTTTGTCAATTTTCCAGATAAAAGTCCCATTGTAGGTTGCCATCTCTAATGTCTGCAGGCGTATTTTACCATCATCCAGTAGTCTGTCTTGTAATACAATTGTTCGCTGCTGGGCCTTATCTATCTTTTCCAAAGTGTTGATCTTTTCTTGCAAAGTTCCCCTGATGCTGGGATGATGCGTATTACTTCCAAGCTCTGTCTGTTGGTCTTGTTCTCCTAGATACCAATCCCCGTTTTTAGGCAGTTAATTTCATCTTTCAGATGTACTAGAGTGTTGTTCAGACATTTTATGCATTTTGCCATAGCGCTGTGAAATAAATAATATGTACCAAAAGTATTGATTTGTTCGAAAAGCATATATATGAGACGTCATTTCATAACCTCAATTTCTCTGCACGTAGTAATGTGTTTCTACCGTGATTAGTGGTTATTTTTCATGGATTGTGAAACGATCACAGGGTCAATTGACTACAAAAATAGCAAAAATGTTACAAATACATTCTCGAAACCATAAATATGCCGAAACTAACTATTTTGTAAACACAATAGTGTAAGAGGTACATACGTGCATAATCAACTTAGGCGTTTACGAGTAGTTCATATAAAGGGCAGCACTTTGTACATGTTCGTGCACGTACCTGTGTCCCCATTCAATATTAATCGAGTTTATTTTCAACATAAAGGCGTTATCCCACTTTATAGAATTGTTTTGTCATCCCAAATGATTAAATAATTGTGTGGATTACAGCATACTGATGTATTGTTACCTTATGTGGAACCGGACTGTTTATCTGCATATAGTAGAGCAATGTCAACGACATGTATTAGACAAATAGGTCGCGCCAATGAAAGGATGTGACCTAGTTCCTTCAGTATAACCATTGATGAATACAAATGAGTAATTCCATTATGGCAGACACTAATGCTAAACTAAACCTCGTAAAGGTTAGTGACCTTCTATTTAAAACCAATCAGTATAGGAATTATGTTTTCCTCGCTATTTTCGTAAGATCACTTTGGTCGATTGCTGTTGACTTTACCTTTTTTTGTAAACACAACACAACCTACAAACACCAGGCAGAGTAGAACAAATGAAAATTACTATACACGTTTAATAAACCTAATCTGATATGGTAAATTGTGAGAAATCCTTTATTTACCCATCTGAAATCTGTTTTGTAAATTAGTTCGGCCAACGCATTTCCCGTTTGTCATCAGCAGACACGTACATGCAAATACAAAGTTCATACAAAGGGCAACACACTTTTACATGTTCGCAGGTATGTGTGTACGTGCAGGTATGCGTGTTCGTGCACGTTATCCCGATTTACAGGAATACTGTTTTGTGTCCTGTACAGCATCTCAAAGAAAGACATTCGTGTGGATTACAACATATTCATTTTTTTGGTAAAGTCCAGTTTTTCACACCCTTCCAAAGGCATATAACATAAAGTGCATTTACACCCTGTCGGTTTTAGCCACTAGAACGTAAAACAATCTATAAAGCAGTATTCATTGTGCATACCTTATTCGGAACCGCTAAGCTGTATATAGAAGAGCAATGTGAACGACCTGCAGGATAAGGGATAATCAACTCTTATGTTAATATTTGGCAAATATGGCGCTTCAATGAAATAATGTGACCCAGGGTAATTAGTAAACTTTCAGCAATCTAATTGTGGTTTAGGTATTGGTTAGGTTTGTTAATTCGACTTTCCTTACTAACATGCTGTATTTCACACCTGTGTTATTAGTTAGGTATCATCTTTTGACTGCAAGTGTTATTCAGCTTTCAGTCAAGCAATTATTTCACAACCCACGAACACCAGGCAGGGGTAGAATAAATGAAAATTACTGCACTCGTTTAATAATCTGATCTGGTAGGTTCAATTATGAGAAATCCTCTATTTACCTATCTGACATCGTAATTTTGTTGTGTTGTTCGGTCAACGCACTTCCCCCTTAGTCATCAGCAGACACATACATGAGTACTTAACAAGGACGTTTAAAGTAGTTCATATAAAGTGCAACACACTGTACATGTACGCAGGTATCGTGTTTGTGCACGTATATGCGTCGCCATTCAATATTAATCGTGTTTGCGTTGTTAAGGGTCATTTTTTCTACATAAACGCGTTATCCCAATTTACAGAAATATTGTTTTGTGTCCCTAACAGTACAGCATCTCGCAGAAAGACATTCGTGTGGATTACAACATATTCATTTTTTATAAAGTCCAGTTTTTCAAACCCTTCCAAAGGCATATATAATATAAGGTTACACCATGTCAGTTTTAGCCACTAGAACGTAAAAAAAAGTAGTATTCATTGTGCATACCTTATGTGGAACCGGACTGCTAAGCTGTATATAGAAGAGCAATGTGAACGACCTGCAGGATAAGGGATAATCAACTCTTATGTTAACATTTGGCAAATATGGCGTGGCAATGAAAGAATGTGACCCAGTTCCCCAGTATAACCATTGATGAATACAAATGATCCTATGAGTAATTCCATTATGAAACTAAACCTCGCAAAGGTTAGTGACCTTTTATTTACAGCCAATTAGTAAGGGTAACTAGTAAACTTTCAGCAATCTAATTGTGGTTTAGGTTTTGGTTAGGTTTGTTAATTCGACTTTTCTTAATAACATGATGTATTTCACACATGTGCTATTAGTCAGGTATCATCTTTTGACTACAAGTGTTATTCAGCTTTCAGTCAAGGAATTATTTTACAACCCACGAACACCAGGCAGGGGTAGAATAAATGAAAATTACTGCACTCGTTTAATAATCTGATCTGGTAGGTTCAATTATGAGAAATCCTCTATTTACCTATCTGACATCGTAATTTTGTTGTGTTGTTCGGTCAACGCACTTCCCCCTTAGTCATCAGCAGACACATACATGAGTACTTAACAAGGACGTTCAAAATAGTTCATATAAAGTTGAACACACTTTACATGTACGTATCTGCGTCGCCATTCAATATTAGTCGTGTCTGCGCTATCTAGGAACATTTTTTTCTGCATAAACGCGTTATCACACCTTACAGAAATATTTTAAATAATATAAACAATGATTCAATCGTCGCTGGTGGCGATTTTAATTGTACAATGCATGCGAATATTGACCGGGCGGACAGTCCCGAGCCACATCTTCCTTCTTCTAGGTTTCTTTCACAAATTTTGTTACGCATCAAATTTGTTGATGCGTGGCGTCATCACAATCCTACTGGCAGACAGTATGCCTGGAGTAGAAACGAAAGCAAATCACGCATTGATACGTTTTACATATCTAAATCTATCCTGTCCAGAATTAAATTCTCGTCTATACTGCCTCGTTATGATTTTTCTGATCATTTTCCTGTCGGTATCCGTCTGTCTTTTAATTCCATTAATACACGTAATCCTGTTTGGTGCTTTAATTTAAGTCTTCTGCAGGGTGAAGATTTTTGTGGAATGTTCACAGATTATTGGTTGAAATGGCTTTGTGTGAAATCACGCTACAGTAAAATTCAAATGTGGTGGGATATTGGCAAGCTGAATATTAAAGTACTCACAGAGCAGTACAGTGCCAAGTTTTCCTGTACGTATAAAAACAATCAAGCCGGATTACGCAATTACATTAAAAATATTGAACACAATTTAAAAGATGATCCTTCCCTAAAAGGGCTTCTTGAAAATGGAGTATAAGAGAGTCGCCATTTGATCATGGCATAAAATTCTAAATGAAAACGATGCCCGTACATCTTTTTCTTTGACTGTGAGAAACAAAAGGGGTCGCGTAAAGTAATGTCACACTTACAGCGTCCCGATGGATCGCTGACTGGGTCACAAACTGAAATGAGGTCAATGGCTAAAGAGTTTTACAGCGATTTGTTTTCTCCCGGTCCGGTTTCGATTGAAGCTCAAAATAAACTTCTTTCTGGGTTGCCTCAACTGTACGACACTATGAGGGAAGATTGCGACGCACCAATATCGCATGAAAGTCTTACCAACGCAGTCAAATTAATTTCTACCAATAGATCCCCAGGCATAGATGGTATTCCTGGTGAATTTTACAAACATTTTTGGTCGCTTTTAGGGTCTGACCCGACGTTATAACTGCTTCAATCGAGGACGGCCAGATGCCTTTGTCGTGTAGACGGGCTGTTATCACTCTACTGCCAAAAAAGGTAATAATGGTCTATTGAAGAATTGGAGACCTGAAAGCTTACTATGCGCGGATTACAAGATCTTTACCAAAGCGCTTTCTCTAAGGTTAAAATCCGTCCTTGGTAGTATAGTTCACATCGACCATAGCTACTCCATCCCAGGAAGACAAATTTATGATAACATACACTTGGTACGTGATGTCATCACGTACGCAAACATCACACTAGGAATTGTCTCTCTCGATCAGGAGAAAGCTTTCGATGGATTTCACCATGGATACTTATTAAAAACACTTCATGCTTTTGGGTTCGGTAATCGGTTCTGTAACTATATTAAATAAACTAGTCTATGCTGACACCGAATGTCTTGTTCGCATCAATAGCGCCCTCACCAGCCCTGTTCAGTTTAAGAGGAGGGGGGGGGGGCAGGGGTTATTTTCGTTCAACGTAATTGCAATATTTTTTTGTTCGTACAACGTAAATTGAAAAAATAAATTCCGTAATTCTGTAATCACAGGCTAGACGTACAACGTAATCAATCAAATATTTTTTTCGTACACTGTAAAAATGTGTCATTTTTTTCGGTACGTACAAGAATTTTCTAGGTTTTCTTTTTTAATTTTCCGTAAAATGTAAAATAACCTTTATTTTCTCTGTAAACTGTAAACATTCAATTTTCACTGTAAACTGAAAAAACGTCTTTTTTTCCTTTTTTCCTTAAATTGTAAAAAGGCCTTTTTATTTCCCGTAAAACTGTACCAGCTACCCCCTTGTCCCCTCTAAGAGGGGTATACGTCAAAGATGTCCCCTGTCAGGGCAACTGTACACGCTAGATATCGAACCCCTTTTGCACAAGATCCGAACCCAGAGTGGTATCCGTGGTGTTCAGGTTGATGACTCTCCTGATCGGGAGGTTAAACTTTCTGCGTACGCTGACGATGTCAGTTCTTTGTCACAAATAACTCTGATTTTATTAAACTCAGAGAATGGCTCGCATGAACTATACCAAGTCGCAAGGTATAACACCGCGTTTACGGATAGTAATTGGTCTAATGTCAT